ATTCACGGATATGATTCATAGCCAACGAATAAAGAATTGTTTACCTTTGTTCTCTGAGTCTCTAAGTCTCTCTGCTGGATGGCCTTCTGGAAGTCAGCCACTAGAGCCTCACTTGATCGCAGCTGTTCCTCCTGCAATCAGGAGGACTTCTAGTCACAATACATGACACATCCTGCAGTTATCACTATTCACCTTCTGTCTCAGTTGCTGCTGAGTCTCAGCTAACTCTCTCTCCTTCTTTGTTAGCTCATCTCTCACTGTCTGCTTCTCTCTCTCACTGGTGTGCAGTTGCTGTTGGAGCTCAGCGTTCTCCTGGACCAATTCATTAGTAGCCAACCCTTCCTCTAGATATAGCTATAAGAGAAAATGTTCCTCACCTGGTTTCTGGATTGTAAAGACTGCTGAGTTATCGTTAGCTGTTCCTCCTGCAGTCGGAAACGAAAACACACTAGATGCCACACTCTTGCATTATCAGTGGTGGATCTAGGATTTTGAAAGGGGGGTTCCGCTGTCCAGAACGGAACCCCCCTCAGCCACTGATTATAATTCACCTTCTGTCCCAGTTGGCTCTGGGCCTCAGCTAACTCTGCTTCCTTTCTCCTCAGCTGTCCCTCTAGCTCAACATTCTCCTAATAACAAACACAAGTCAACTGGCAACACTCTCTCACTACAGCACACACAGTCCCTCACCTGGTTCCTGGGCTGGGTCTGAAGAGCTCGCAACAGCTCCAGTTTGTTCATGTCTGTCTGCTCGTCTCTCACTTCAGCTCTGGCCTCCTCCAACAGACGCAGCACCTCACGAATGCTCGGCCGGTCTTCAGGGAAGTCCAGACACCCCTCGATCATCTGGAGGAGAGGATGCTTCTCGCGTAGCTGCCTGTAGATCATCCTCATGTATCTCTCTCGTCGCTCTAGCTCAGTTCTAGCTTTATGCTGTCGACCTTCACGATAGGTGGGAGCTAGCAAGTCGCAGGGGAAGGTTTGGCAGAGTGTGAAAATGGCCACGACACCAAAAGAGAAGATGTCGATGCTTGCATCGTACTTTGACTTTTTGTCTTTCTCTTCCTCATTTTCCTCCTCAAGTTTGCTTTCCATGGCCTCTGGAGGCATGTAAATTATGGCCCCAGGTCCCTTTGTCATGGTGGCTGCAACTCGCATACGAGGCACGATACGAGCCACGCCCAGGTCCGCTATCTTGGCCACCATCCCCGAGTTCAGGAGAACGTTTCTGGCCGACAAGTCGCGGTGGATGATGGGCGGCGATCGCTCGTGGAGGTAGGTCAGGCCGCTCGCCACGTTGTGCAGGATCGAGCACTTTAGGCTCAGCGGGAAGAAGGGCTTGGGCGCGTCGGGCGGGGGAGGGGTGTCGGTTTCTGGGTCCAGCAAGTCGTGAAGACTCGTCAGCAGTCGCTCCATGACGAGGGCCGGCAGTCGCGAGCCGGGCAGGAAATACAAGCCAAGAAACTGGACGATGTTCGGGTGGCGGAGGGTGCTCATCAGCTGGCATTCCTTCGCGAACTGGGCGGCCGACTTGAGGATCTCGGCCTCAGGGATCTCGGAGCGGTCCAGGAAGACTTCGTGGATCCTTTTGGCGGCGCAGACGGCTCCAGGCACGGCCACCTCCTCCACGCTGCCGTAGGCTCCTGCGCCGATTCTGACGCCAGTGAGCCTTACATTGGAGAGAAGAAACTGCCGCAGCTCTGGGTTGTCGCGAAGCAACTCCGCCATTGCTCAAACTATTCAGGGTGGGGCCGTTTCCCTTGAGATGATGCATGCATATTTTGCAGTTGTGAATGTCATTTCGTGTAATTATTCACTGAAGGTAATACAATACATATCAACATGGAAAGGGAATAAAAGATGCTAGACAGCCATGTCCATGTGTATCTTGGGGTGAGGATGGTAGTCATGGAGAATGATGTCATCGTAAACAAACTTGTCGATGTCGGAGACCTGTCTTCTCAGTTCCAGTCTCGGGAATGGTCTCGGGCTCCGCTGGATCTGGGGACAGGAATGGGGGAATGACACACTGCCCCTCTCATTACCATGGTCTTATTATTACCACAAATTCAATCAGAGTCTGTTTAGCAAGTTTTGGTATGTTCATTATACAGTGGAACCCCTCTAATCCTGACACTGATAGGGAGAAGAAAGTAAGGTGTCCTTATTTCAGGGGTTAAATAGCATGCAAGAACTGTTACTGTAAGTGTCTATATTTTCAGGGGTGTCCTTAGAGATGGAGGAATAAGGTTTACTGGCAGCAGACAATGTGATAAGCCAATTATAACCCACAAACCTGTATATTGAGGGGTTGGATGTGGTTGAGGTAGACATGTGCGTCTCCTAGAGTATGTACAAAGTCTCCCGGCTGGAGAGGGAGTTAATTATGATGATGTCATAGGTTTATGAGGGGGGCGTGGCTAACCTTGAGGTTGCAGACGTGAGCTATCATGTATGTCAGTAGAGAGTAGCTGGCGATGTTGAATGGAACTCCAAGACCCTGGGTGGAGGAGGAGGTAATGAGAATAGTGGGTTGTGGGGAAACTTGAGGCATTATTCCACCTACTTTTGTGCAAAGGAGTGGTTTGGTTTGCAACACATTCTTTTGACTTAAAACTACAGTAACTTTTCTCACAATGGGAGTACTACATTTCATACTACTGAGTGCAACTGTTGAACGTTGCAGTAAAATGTGACAAACATTCAGACCTTTCTTGCCACTACATACAGTTAGCAACTGCAGCAAATCCCCTGAAATAAGGGGACATCAAAAATTGTCAGAGGTGCTTGAGGGCAATACAAGTATAAGCCAAGTATCCTCTAGTGAGAGGTGTCATTCATTATGAGGTGTATTTCCACTGTAATAACTGAGAGAAGAGAAGTGCTGGAGTACCATGTCTGCTGATCTCTGGTACAGTTGGCATGACAACTCTCCATTACAGACGTAGAACTGGACAAAGGCATGGCAGGGAGGCAGGGCCATCTCTGGTAGGTCTGTGGGGGGGGAGGGAGTGGGGGGGGTGGAGTAAGATGAGAGAGGAGGAAGATGAGAGAGAGGGTGGAAGAAAGAAAGAATGAAATGAAATGCACTAAAGTGAAAACCCTCGGTGAACTGCACATGCGTGGTACGGCTAATTGATGGGCTGGGTTATTTGTGTGCTCCGAGAGTTAATAATGTGTAACAACAGTCAATAAAACAGAGATAATTTCCCAGTGTTCAGAGTGTCAGGTAGAGAGGAGAGAGAGAGAGATGTTACCAGGAGGGTTCCAGGCAGACATGATGATTCTCCTGTCATTTGGGTTAGTCCTGATGGTCTGGATCACCTGACCAACCAGACAACAGAATTAGGTATAATTACTTGTTCTTGCACAACAAACACGACCCATACTGAAATATAAAGATTGACTCCATTTTATAGCAAATACACAAAGCAATACACATTTGTAATTTAAGCATATGCAAAAAACACAAAATGTACTACTTTGCCATTCACATTGACTGAAGTGCAAACCCTCGGCGCACTGTGACGCACAATCGTAAGTAAACGCAAGCGCCGTAGCACTAATTGATGGGCTGGGTTTAGTTTTAGCTGTTGCTTGTGGTCTCTTGCCAGCTCGCGCAGTCTGCCGCGGGCTAACTACACTACTAGATAGCATGCGAGAGGCGATACACGCCCTGCCTTGCATCTTGTGGTGTCTCCGAGGTACGCAGAGCACGCGGATCGATCATGCCGTAGTAAGCCGTCCCGTCCGTTGTGTATTTGTATATTGGCTTTTTCGCGCTCTAGCTATGAAACGGAGCAGTGTTTCAGAGAAAAACCGAAATTTCTGACCTTCATTGCCCGTTCAGTAGATGGTATCATTTGTGAGACGAACGAACACTCGAGAAGTGAGATGACGAGTAACAGACAGACAGACAGACAGACACACAAACCCAACTACCGCATGCGCGCCGAGGGTTAATAACACACTGAACTGC